GACACGCCGTTGTTCGCCGGTGGGATGTGCCACTAAGTCTTAAAATTGTCTGTAATAGTTCGGCTGCGAATGCAGTTCCCCTGTCAGTTATTACCACTGATGGAGCACCATGCCTCAGCACCACATTCTCTATGAAAAATCGGGCTGCTTCACTTGCCGTGCCCCTCTCCAAAGCCTTGGTTTCGGCGTAACGAGTGAGGTAGTCGGTGGCTACTATAATCCATTTGCGACCTGCTGATGAGGTTGGAAATAGGCCCAAAAGATCCATTCTGACTTGAGCGAATGGAGTAACAGGCACGTCAATAGGATGGAGGAGGCCTGCTGGTTTGACGGGTGAAACTTTTCTGTGCTGGCAATCAAGGCACGTCCGAACATAGTGTTGAACGGTCGCCGTCAGTCTTGGCCAGTAGCATTTCTGCCTCACTTTGCACAAAGTACGCGTGTAACCCAGGTGGCCGGATGTTGGTTCATCGTGGCATGCCTGTAATACTTCGCTCCTTAGAGATGTTGGGACGACAAGTAAGTAGTCGTTTCTGTGTGGCGTGAAGTTCACCTTAAACAGGACATCGTTGCGCAAGCAAAATGACGAAAGCCCTCTTGCAAACAGTCAAGGTACAGCTGAAGTGCGACCCTCTAAAAAACGTAGTATGGGTTCTAGTTCGGGATCGTCTCGTTGCAGTTGTGCGACAGTTGCCGTGTTTACAACTCCGACAAAGGCTGTATCGTCATCTTCTGCCATCGCAGGTTCGTATGGCGCACGAGAAAGGCAATCAGCATCTGAATGTCGCTTCCCCAATCTGTAGACCACCGTCATGTCAAATTCTTGAAGCTTCAGGCTCCAGCGCGCCAACCCTCCTAAAGGGTCTCTTAAATTCGTCAGCCAGCAAAGGGAGTGATGGTCGCTGACAACATTAAAAGGACGACCATACAGGTATGGGCGGAATTTTATAACTGCCCACACCACCGCAAGGCACTCTTTTTCCGTAGCGGAATAATTTTCTTCGCACATGAAAGAGTTCTGCTCGCGTAAGCAATTACTCGTTCGGCGCCATCCTGCCACTGCACGAGTACAGCTCCTAAGCCGACATTGCTAGCGTCGGTGTGCACTGTTGTCGGTGCGTCATCATCAAAATGTGCGAGGACTGGTGGCTTCTGAAGGCGTTGCCGCAGCTCGTTGAATGATTTTTGCTGCTCTTTATTCCATACGAAGGCGACGTCTTCTCTGGTAAGGCGGGTCAACGGCGAGGCAATGCGCGAGAAGTTCTCAATGAAGCATCGGTAGTGAGCACACAGTCCTAAAAACGGTCTGACCGCCTTTTTGTCATTTGGCGCTGGAAAATTCGTAACGGCAGCTATTTTTTCAGAGTCAGGCCGCACACCATCACTACTGACAAGATGCCTCAGGAACAGAAGCTCTTCGAAGCCGAAATGGCATTTTTCTGGCTTAAGTGTTAGTCCGGCGGAACGGATAACTTGAAATACTGAGTGCAGTCGCCGGACGTGTTCGTCGAATGTGGCAGAAAATACAATGACGTCATCTAAATACACTAAGCACGTCTGCCACTTGTGGCCTGATAGTACAGTGTCCATTAGCCGCTGAAACGTTGCCGGTGCTGAGCACAAGCCAAATGGAAGTACCTTAAATTCAAAAAGGCCATCAGGTGTCACGAAAGCTGTTTTCTCCCGGTCTCTTTCATCGACTTCTATCTGCCAATACCCACTCCTTAGATCCATCGACGAGAAATAACGCACGTGCCGTAGTCGATCGCATGAATCGTCGATACGTAGAAGTGGGTAGACGTCTTTTTTTGTCACCCGATTCAGCTTGCGGTAATCCACACAGAAACGTAAGGTGCCGTCTTTTTTCTTCACTAATACACCCGGCGAAGCCCAAGGGTTTTTCGACGGCTGAATAACGTCGTCTTCAAGCATCTGTCGCACCTGCTTTTCGATGGCTTCATGTTCTCGCGGAGCTACCCGGTACGGGTTTTGCCTGATGGGTCTGGTCATGTCGTCCGTTATAATTCGATGTTTCGTCAGCGGCGTTTGACGAACCCTGGAAATCGACGAGAAACAATCTTCAAACTTGTTAATAAGCTGCAAGATACTTTGCTTCTGCGCCGGCAGCAAACTTGGGCCAATATCAACAGATAGAGGTGCAGGGGTCAGATCAGTTGAATTATCTTTTTCAAGAGTTAGGCAGTCTGTCATCTCGGCGAGCTCTTCCACCTACGTGACTGCCATGCCCCTCGTTAGATGTCGGCGTTCAGAGCTGAAGTTCGTAACAAGGACGTGCGTTTGTCCGCATTTTATGCTTACGACGCCTCTTGCGATAGATAAACCATGGCTGAATAGCAGTGTTGGAATTTGCTCGGCGATGTTTTCAGAATCGCTCGACGTGTCACATGTCACAGCCACGAGTGCACTTGACCGCGGTAGGATGGTCACGTCGTCTTCGAAGACACGCAAAGGCTGACGTCGCTAGTCTGTACAGGGCACATCCGAAACTTGATCTGGGGCCGTCCAAAACGTAACTGATCTTTCAGGAATGTTGATAATGGCACCGTATTCACGCAAGAAGTCCATGCCCAAGATCAGGTCTTTGCGGCACTCTGGTAAAATTACGAAAGTAGCGACGAAATCTGAACTGCCGATATTAATTCGAGCTGTACATTTGCCCGTCGGCGTCACCAATTGACCCCCTGTGGTTCTAATGTTTGGGCCCGTCCATATTGTTCTTACTTTCTTTAGGCAGTCGGCGAGTTTACGGCTGATAATAGACAAGTCCGCACCAGTATCTACCAGTGCTGTTATTGGGCGTTCGTCTATACAAATGTCTAGATTGGCGCTTACGATTTCCGTTGATGTCGGTGACGTCGTATCGCCCTTGGTATCGTGCGTCGTACGATCCGTGGTATCATTCGTCGTATCACGTCGTAGAGAAGATGTTGGGAGTGTGATAGAATCTCGACGGGCGGTAACCTTCCCCCCAAAGGTCCAGCTGTTAGTTTCCCCGACGAGGGCTAGGAGATCTGCCCCGAACCACCTCGGAGTAACTGCGCTGCGGCGGCGAGTTCGGTGCAGGTGAAGGAGAGCGGGGTCGACGATACGGCACTTCGGGTTGCTGTGCTTACGGGCCTGCACTGCTGTCACGGCGGTTATCGAAATAGGCACGAGGGGAGGTTTGTAGAAAGTTATGATGTCTACGGTCACGGTACGGGCAATCGCAGAAAACTTGGCCGGCTTCTCCGCAATGAAAGCAAAGTGGTTGACGGTCGACGGTGCGCCACAAGTCCGTCTTACGGATGAATGGTCGACTGGTGGGCATACCTTGCGACCAAGATGCAGATGTCGGCGGAGTGTACATCGGCGGCGTTTGCATAGGCACGTTGGACTGTGGATACGACTGCGGCGGATTGGGAGCTAGGGCCCACGGCTCGTTGTAAGGCCCTTGGCTCACGTCACGATAAGCCAGTGGTGACGAGTTGTAGGACACCGGAGTGTGTCGACTGACAGCTGATGCGTAGCTCACAGACCGCTGGTCTGAAGGCGATTCGGGCAACAAAAATGCCTGGCGGAGTTCTTGCCACACAACTTCTGCAACGCAAGCCATGGTATTTTCTTGCGGAGTCACAAGGAGGTTTCAGATCTCCTCCCGAACGACTTCACGAATGAGTTCGCGCAGAGAACACTCACTACCGGCACTCAAAGCAGAGAGACTGGGAGATGTTTCGATTGGTTGGTCATGGTATCGGCGCCGTTGCTGCAGTGCTCGCTCGATTGTTGTAGCCTCTTTGACAAATTCGGCTATGCTTGTTGGTGGGTTGCGTAGGAGACCGGCAAACAGCTCTTCCTTGACGCCCCTCATCAAATGTCGGAGTTTTTTACCTTCAAGCATCTCGGGGTCGGCCCGCTGAAATAGGCGGGTCATGTCTTCCGCAAACATGGCGACGCTCTCGTTTGGTTTCTGTATGCGTGCCTTGATGAGCTGCAAAGCAGAATCACGGCGGTCGGTGTTTGCGAATGTCCCGAGAATTTGCTGCGGAAATTCCTCCCACGAAAACAGCGTTGACTCGTGGTTCTCGTACCACGTACGAGCGCTGTCTGCCAAAGCAAAGTAGACGCGCGATAGCTTTTGTTCAGTGGACCAGCGGTTGGCTTTGGCGACTCGCTCATACTAGGCTAACCAGTCCTCGACGTCTTCATAAATCTCACCGTGGAAGGTTTCAGGAATTAGAGCCTGATCAACAGTAAGCTGTGAAGGCCTTTCGGTTGCCATTTCTCCGGCACGGTGTGTTGCTGGAGAAGTTCTAGCGGGAGTGCCTCGGGACTAAGGCCTCGCTGTCGGCGACTGTAGCAGTGGACAGGAGTATCCACTGCAGGAACGGATTGCGGTGGTGGACTCGATGTGCTAGGGCGCGGAGCTGTCCCAAGCATTAGTTGGAGAAGTCCAGCACCTCCACCAATGTCGCTAGGTGAAAATAACAGAATACAGGACGACGGTGCGACCAGAAAAAACGAGGTCTGTATTACCAGAACAAAAGAGTAGCCGCTTCAACTTCTTCTTCCTCGGAGGAACCGTGGGTGCTGTCCACGCTCATCACTTCATCGTCCTCTGTCTTCTTGCCCGGCCTTTAGCCGTGACAATATGCACATGGTCCTTAAGCTAAAGACACGGTTGAAGTGAAGTTCGCAAACTGCGTTGGTGTCTTCCAGAAGCTTGTCCGCTCTGTGCTGGTTCTTCTCACATTCTTTCGGCCTGTTTTCATCCTTCAGGACGCCAAACAATGACAGGTCCTGCTTACTCTTCACGAACACGTCTGTTAGACACCCAAGCGCCTGACAGTGGTTTTGCCGTTGTCGTGGCATGGTTATAGTATGCACTGTAAAGCATACTTTCATCTTGCGTGGTGCGTAACGCCCAAAGCTGACGGCAAAAACTCGGCACAACAATGTCTACAGCCACACAACGTATGACTATGAGAAAATGAATGCACAAATGTGAAGGCATCAATTTTTATTTGCAATGACAAGTGCCGGTCAAATTTGCATTCTCAGAAAGAAAATAAAGTGCCAATTTTCCAGTCATGTATATCTCTTTTAAAGACGAAACAAAAAACTCTAGTTAAGTGTTATATCAGCTAAAAGCATGTCCTGGCTGATAAAAGCATTGCTGGAAAATGCCAAAATAGGAGCATTGCATAGTTATAGGAATATATGCTTCAAACAGTGACGTGGGCGAGCAGTTGCCAAGCAAATCTTGCTCGAACCCACACGCACTGTTTATAAGAATACCTGGGGGACAGAGTTATCATTACATTACAGATACTGCAGCGTGGCTCAACAATCCATAAATATGGCTGCGAGTAGGTCACGGTGCCTATTGACGTAATTCGGGAAGAATTCATTATCACTTCAATTCATAATGCAAGCAAATTAATGAGCGAGGCCTTGGGTCACAGTCTCATGCCTACAGCTTACACATGTATGAAGCAGAGAGAGAAAAGAAAAATCACTTAGCGATGCCTTCTTATACTTTTCATGCAAACAGCATTGTAAAATGGACTGGAATGCACACTCAGCTTTCCAACACTTGTGCTATTTGGTGGGCTTTCATGCGAAATGACAACAGCATTTTTCCAGTTATCATGACAACCTTTGTACAGAACAAGGAAGAGGGAACAAGGAAGAAAAGCTCCAGCATGATACTAAGCTCAGAAACTTCGTACAAACACCAACCTCTCTCTTTTCAACTCAAGTGCCCACCCCTACTCGAGGACACACAAACTTCTGTACAGTACGATGAGTACTTGGCCCCGGCTTGCTCCTTCCGGAGCCATTAAAAAAATTTTGAAGAAGCGGAGACCGTCAGACATCCCTCTTTGCAAGGCAACTTGGAGCGGTCGAGATTGCAGTCGCTGCACAAACGGCTCATTCACACACGCTAGAAAAAGCAGCTAGCAGTCGCTTCAACACACACACACCTCTCACACAGGCCTAGACTTTGGGTAGCCCAGTCTCTCTGTCACACTCAGGTCTTTTCTAAAGAGGAGGCACCGTGACTAAAGTGGATGGCCCCTGAGGGGTGGGAGGTCATGTGGCACCGATAGATATTGGAGGCGCTTGATTGGAGATGCCCGGAATGTGACTCCGGCTTAGAGTGTCTTGGATCAGGACCTCCACCATGTTCCTGTCATCCTGTAAGCAGAGTGCAAAAATGTTTTCAGCAACGTCGCCTGCCCATAGCAGAGTTTTGCAATAGCGCACTAGAGGTAAATCTGCCACTAGGGTCTGTGAGAACTCCAAAGCATGTCGCTAGTATGGGAACGATGGGCAGTGCATAGATTTGCATAGGATTTGTTATTTCGATTAAATGTGGCACTGTGTGGCTTACAGCCATTTTGCCATAAGATGTTCAGCAGTGCCACCTCGCGACCTTTTTTGGCTCACCCATTCAATCACCTCACGAGGTTCACAACGAGCAGTCCTTTAATCCAAAACTAGTTAAAAGACAACAATAGGCAAAGCCACAAAGAAACTCCAAGCAGCAAGCATAAAAAGGCTAGGCAAATACATGCACTACTCGTTCCCATGGTGGCTATATGCTGCATGCAGTTCCATGTAGACGCTCCAGTGCAGGAAACTATGGCCCAAAGAATACCTCGTCGAATATCTTTTGTAGACCGCAGTAGCAATGAAGCACACAGACATCTCCTTATGGCGACATTTGTTAACTCAAGACCCTCAATCCTTGCATGCTGCCCCCAACGAAATGGGGCCACAGCAGCCAAAAGCTGAAGGCGCAAGTTTTCTGGTGGGCAGGTAATCGCCGCATGTAGTCATTAAAGGTTCAAAGGGGCTCAATCTCGTACAGAGGAAAAGAAGGAGCACATCAAGATTTAACATTGGGAGCAAGTTAGAATCTGGTAAACGCTGTACTTCTGAACAGTTTAGGCAGCACAACAAAAATTAGCTTTTACAACGGCTAGTTCTATCAACAGTCAGCTTCCTTCGGCAGCAAGTTGAGCGAAGAACAGTACCTTGTTAATAAAGCCATAGTGAACGAGCTCTGTGGCCAGCACGGAGGGAGTGTCCTTTATACTGAGCTCGCAAGTCAACTGACGATTCATTTTGTCATCCATTCGCAGTAACAGCGTCATCTGAAAAGCAAGGGGATACAGCTAGTGTATGCAACACACCGCACTTGTAGCTTGAAAACTAACTGCAAGCACCACAGACGCTCTACCCAAAGAACCACAGCGATCATTTTTTCTGCGATGAACACAGAAATTATATTGTCAATTATTTGAACCTTTAGGTGCAGAATGCATCCAATAACAGACTTGGAACAGCACAAACAGACAAGAAATGTACTGTGTTAGGTAAATTTTTTTTAGTAGTGTCTGTTGCTTATAATGCCTTTCAAGCATGCCTAACGGAAATGACTGTAACAATATCTGTGAAATACCAACAACATATCCCTCCATTATTCCAAGGGTTGATTGATATGTGGGGTTTAACATCCTAAAACCACCATAGGATTATGAGACAACGCCGTAGTGGAGGGCTCCGGAAATCTCGACCACATGAGGTTCTTTACTGTGCACCCAAATCTGAGCACATGGGCCTACAACAACATTTCCGCCTCAATCAGAAATGCAGCCGCCGCAGCCGGGATTCGATCCCGCGACATGCGGGTCAGTAGCCAAGTACCTTAGCCAATAGACCATCGCGGCGGGGCATTCTAAACATTGTTAAGCGAGTACATAGTTGAAGCTTTTGGCAATAGAGACTAAAATGGCAAGTTATAGTGAGGTTTTATGCGCCAAAACCACGATACGGTTATTAGGCATGCCATAGATCACTCTAGACCACCCGGGGATCTTGCAAGCATAACTATATGTACCGCATAGAAGCTAGTGTGTAATGCATAAATGAGAAAATTATTGTGTTTATTGACAGCACCGTTTAATGTCAGACAGGTTTTTCACTCGCAAAGTAGATGGTGCACCGATGCTTTAGCATTACTGCCCCATCGCAATGCAGCAACTATGGCCAGGAATCAAATCCAAGGCGTCAAGCTTAGCAACATAACACCATAGACCTTAAGCCATTGCAGTAGTTAATTATAAAACGAGCTCATATTCATTAATTTAAAATGGCAGGGTTGCACAGATCCAGCATGAACAAAAAAGCGTGCAAAAGAACGGTCAATAATAACAATACTCACAACAAAGTTTTGAGATTCGTCCTGCTGTTTGATGTTACACATCATGTTTATGATGCGTCGTGTCTCTGCATCAAACGGTTCCGGCGATGCCGATTTAACAGACTCCGACACTTCGGGTGACGACGCTCGGGGTCTCACGATTGGCTGATGGGACATGACAAACGCTGTCAAGGGATAGATGCCATTTCTGGATTGCGAAAGAAAAAAAAATGGAAGGACGAAAGCATAAGAAGGCATGAGTACAATGGCTAGATGATAATGCATATAGCACTGACAGAGTGTCTGGGCCACCACTCGGTCTTGTGTTAGATACAAAGGAATTTCATGCAACGTGCCGACAGGCCACTAGCTTCAACATTTAACAAGTTAGATAGGACAAGCAAGGTCATATCTGTGTGCATTTTACAGCTTTTTAACCAGAAGTTTTTCCTTTCAAGATTCCACAGCATGCATTTAAGTCTATAGCCATTTACTGCTTGATAGTCGGGCATTAGAGTCATCTGTGTAGGCATACCTCGAAGTACTGGCACTGTAATGTGCTGTCTCTATAAAGCAGTAACAGTGCAATGCAACAGAACTTCATACTGTGTCACCCTGACCATCGCTGAATGAAGAGTACGCATGCACACGCCCACCTGACATCTTCGAGCAGCTTCTCCAACTCCAGCTTGGGCACCTCGTTCTTGTGCAGTTGCACGCCAAGCCGGCCGTCCCGGTGCGTAATCTCGGCAATGATGTCCGCCTGGCTGTACCTCAAAAGCACGGCCTCATCCGTCAGTTGGTCTGGGTGATAAGCTGAAAGTGTGAAGGCCCACCTTATGGAACCAACAGACCACCAGTGCTGCTGCTGTGGTCGGATTGGTAACGAGACCAGTAGCACAACTGTGCTTCAGCCATGCGCAACATGCATGCAAACGCTTCCTCTCTCTCGTGTCCACTGTGCACATCGCTTCAGTAAATGAGTTTCCTCAGTGGAGTGCTTGCAGAGAGCCCGCAGCATAGAGTTCCACTAGGATACAGTTGGAGGGAAATGTTGTGCTAGTGCCTATGGGAGCTGCAAAGCGGGGACCTTCAGCCAACACGAAAATAATGAGTAATGCATTGATTGGGGCCTGCGTTTCTATCTTTCGGCTCCGTTTAACCTGCATTCACTTGACAAGCCGAAGTAAAGCAGTCCCACTTTGCCACCCTTTGCGAAGGATCAGTTGAAATCTGCTCGCGAAGTCCACAACCAGCCATTTTATCTTATCTGAAAACAAAAGCCAAAACACGACAGTAAACGGAGCCATAAGTGCGTTTGAAGCCGGAAGCATGAAGACTAAGCAAGTCTATGTGCTACTTATCGTTCCCAAGGTAGCTGAACGATTGCAGTGGCACAGTTTCCTTCAGTAAATATTGTAGGAAACCATGGTCTACAGTCTACACATGTAAACCAACAGAAGCAACTCTAAATGGTACAAGTTGTATAATTTCGTCAAGGCCAGTTCGAAGAAAAACAATTCATCTCTTCAAGTATTGCTCCGAAATATGAAAAGCACAATCTTCGCCGCAAGAGAGCGCTGTGCTGGGAGGCTTGTTAGCAAAGTATAATGAGGTGTCGATTCCACTTGCGGGGCATTCCAGTCTACACGAAAAATTTTCCCTTTGCACATAATGCTAGTATTTCACTATTTTAGTGCACAGTTAAACAAGACAGAACAGAAGAACAACAAAGACACAGCATAATGCTTCCGTCCTCCGTCTTGTTTAACAGTGCACTAAATAATGAAATGGGTAACCAACATGCCGAAGCATTAGTTAAAAAACATGAGGTGTGAGCAGCATTATACTGTAATGAATTGCTTTAGAACTTAATCCTGACAAGGACAAAACATTGCTTACGGGGAAAGCATCAGTTCATGCAAATGGGATAACAAATTGGAAAAAAGAAACGAAAAAAAAAAACATAGCACTGTTGCTTAAAGGTAGATGTGATTCGAAAAATACATGTTTTTTTTTTCTTCAAAAGGACAAATTAATCATTTTTATTTGCTTTCTCAAGTTTCTCTACTTAAACTCAATGTTGGTTACCTAAACTCAAACTAAAAAATTAAGAAGTCCTGATTGTCTAGAGTCTCCTGAAAATTGTCACCTGGCTGCTTGCCATTGCATTTCACACGAGGAGTCTACTAGAACAACATGCTCAAAATAATCTACAATTGCCAAGCTCTCATGATGAAAGAAATCATGTTGAAAAACATATCTTTTCCACGTAGATGAGCTTTGCATTCTGCCTTTAAAACGAGTTTGTCAAATCCATTTTCGGCCAACTTCTTGAGTTTGGACATCGTGTTTTTGGTACTTCCAGGACGAAATTTCGCCCACATATTACTGAACATGTGAAGGGTGCAAGTATCTCCTTCAAACTTGATATCCCCTATATAACTACTACAAATCTAAAGTAAGCAATTAGTATGGCCTTGGAATTCTAAGAATTCGCACATTACAATTTTTCTTGACCATCACAATGTTTTAAATGCACTTTCTTGATACGTCATTTGCATTCTGAAGTTAATGTAGAGCATTAGGAGCCATTAATTGCTCAGAAGCACGAAGCTTTAGTGGAACAGAAAGATTGTCCAAACAAACTATACTTTACACATTGTTTTGGCACAAAACCAAAACTGTACAAGTAGCAATAAAACTAGCAACATACTTGAAATCAGCATAAAAGCCCATATATACAGTGAAAATTCCATTGCATTAGGCTACAGACTAAAAATAGACTCGCACCTCCCCTTAACTATAGTTTCCAAGCAGCGTAAACATAGCTGTAATAACGAAAGCACCACACACAAATTTGACTTTCTTCCTGGTGAAAGTTCACGGATGCTCCAGTTATTTGTTTAGGAAACGCATGTTTTCATGCATTCTAGCACAAAAGCAACCAGTGCACAGGTGCATTCTGTGGCAAATTTGGCAATGCATGACTCACGTCTTTCCGAGAATTCATTGCATGTGAACAACACCTTCAAAGTCGTAGGCCACAGCTGTTACACCGCGATACATGCATTAAAATAATAGCAAAACGAATGCCAATTAGGACTGTTAATGAGGTAAACAGGCATTTCAGTTTCTCGTGCACGTGATTCCTGCTTTCCGAAGAAACCTGTTTAATGCGTAAAATTGTTCCCAATTCTGAAGCTACGAGAAAAATGCCAGATTGTTTTAACAGCCACTGTATTTGCAAGAGACAGTTGCCCTCACCCTGAAGAGTAGCCCTCACCTTGAAACAAGCACGACAAGAAGCCACATATACAAGATGTAGCAGTCACTTTCAAGACGGAAGGACCGACTTACAAGCAGTTTTGATGACGACGTGCGCTGCCAGTACTTGCAGGGAGTGAACCTCGAAGATTACTGGGTGAAAGAGAAGCTCCCTGGCAGTTGGCCTCTCCAGCGGATTTTTTCGCAGGCACTTGCGGATGAAGTCCTGAAAAATCGTGCAACAAATGCACTGCAGCACACCCACCGGCTTCAGAATTTAAAGGCACCTTTGGTCACACCAGGTTGGATTGAACTTGTCTCAAAGTTCACAACCGATTTCGTGGCAAAAGGGCGACCATCAGAGCAAAGAAAAACGATGATGATGATGCTTGATGTTTTGTGGCGCAAGGGCCATTTCACGGCCAAAGAGCGCCAGTTCATCTTACTAAAAACATGGACAATGATTGTGGTAAGCGGCTGTATAAGGGCTATAAAATTCCTCACGGTAAGGCGGGTAAAAACATACAAGTAATAAAATCATGACCATGCCTTGAAAGGTGTGTGTGGTGTGAATAGATGACAAAAGTTGGTGATAATAAAAACGATGGTGGACATGTATGGCATTAGCACAAGTGCCTCACTCGTTCATACCTTTGCGTCCAGGGCCGTGAGGCAAGTGCTTTCTTGTGTAGCCACCGCAGCGAAAACCTCTCTGGAGAGGTCGTGCTACGGAATGCCCGGGTATATGATATGAAAACTATTAATTTCTTTTAAAAACGCTAACAATGATTTATGACTAAAAAGCGGTTCCCTACCGACGAACATTGCAGGGTGTAAAGGTATGTGTTGTCGGTAGGGTAATGGAAAATGTTGTTTTCTCAGAGTTTCTACCTGTTTGCACTGAATTAACATGTGAAAGACAGTTAATGCTTCACCACATCTGTCACACAATGGTGGATCGCCACCGGACAAAAGATATGTGTGTGTCGTGTATGTGTGTCCTATCCTGAGCCTCGTTAGTATTACCTCTGTATGACGCAATTTTGATACTGGCAGCCAATGACGAAGGTGTGGCTTAATAATGTGTAGTTTGTTTTGTGTCTGTCTATCCCACTTGCTCTGCCAGTAGTCCCTGAGGTTTCGTTTGAGAGACGGCTCAAGATCAAGGGCCGGGATTGATATGATTGTAGGGGCAGTGCTTTTGTGGACGGATGCAGCGAGATGATCCGCCCTCACGTTGTCTTGGATCTCACGGTGCCCTGGCACCCAGCACACTACAACATGTTGTTTGAGTGTGTAGAGTGTGCATAAAATGGAGTAAAGTGAGACTAGGACTGGGTTTTTGTGTTTTTTAAGAGTGTGCAGAGCAGTTACCACACTGAGGGGGTCCGTATAAATTACTGCTTTTTGTATTTGTAATTGCTTGATGCGTTTAGCCGCCACAAGTATCGCATAAGCTTCGGCTGTGAAGATACTTGTGCTTGGATGTAGAGGGCCAGCATCCGAAAAGGATGGGCCGACAGCAGCGTAGGACAAAGAGGAGTAAGACTTGGAGGCATCTGTAAAGAACTCAGGATGTGTGTATTTGTGTTGAAGTTCCAGGAAGTATGTTCGGATATGGGCAATAGGCGCATGTTTTGTAAATTTTAGAAAAGACACATCGCAGTCTATAGTCTGCCACTGCCACGGTGGCGGATATGCTACAGGAGCCATTAAATTGTGTTCAAGTGACACTCGAGTTTCCTCAGCTAGACCCTTCAGGCGAACTGAGAAGGGCTGCCTCATCAAAGGCCTGTTTTGAAACAGAATGGAGCTCGACAAATCATTAATAGTAGAGTATGAGGGGTGCATCTTGTCTGCTTTCACCTTAAGGAAATAAACAAAGGACATGTAAGTTCTCTGCAGATGAAGCGACCACTCATTTGACTCAATGTAAAGGCTTTCTACGGGGCTGGTGTGAAAAGCACCCGTAGAAAGGCGGATGCCCAAATGGTGCACGGGGTACAGCATCTTCAAAGCACTTTGAGCCGCGGACTTATAGACAACGGTCCCATAATCTAAGCGGGTGCGAATGAGCTTCTATACAGATTCATGAGACATTGCCTGTCACTATCCCACGTAGTACGTGACAACACTTTTAAAACATTCATGGCTTTTAAACATTTTGTTTTTAAATACTTGATGTGCGTTACGAAGGTCAACTTGCTGTCCAAGATTAAGCCTAAGAATTGATGCTCTGCATTAACAGACGTTGACCGTTCAGTTCAATGTCGGGTTATGAGTGCATGCCTCTCTTTCGGGAGAACAAAACACACATGCTTTTTTGTGGGTTCAGTCGGAATCCATTTTCCTCTGCCCATTTGGAGACCTTGTTTAAACCTAACTGAACCTGCCGCTCACACATTGCCAAGTTGCATGACTTGAAGCCAAGCTGAACGTCGTCGACATAAGTACAATAGAACATATTGCGGGGGATGGACAGGTGCAAGAAATTCACTTTGATAATAAAAAGTGTACAACTAACTACACCACCTACGGCAGGCCTGTTTCCTGGACAAATGTTTGGGAGAGAACACAGCCCACACGGATACGAAATGTCCGATTGGACAAGTAACTCTCGATTATGGAAAACATTCTACCGCGCACGCCAAGGTGGGAAAGGTCTCTTAGAATTCCAAAGCGCCATGTTGTGTCATAAGCCTTTTCGATATCGAGAAACACAGAGAGAAAATACTTTTTATGGACGAAAGCGTCTCTGATCTGTGCCTCGATACAAACAAGGTGGTCTGTGGTGGATCTACTCTCTCGAAACCCACACTGAAATGGGTCTAGCAAATTGTTTGTTTCAAGGAAATGTACAAGTCGGCAGTTTATCATTTTTTCGAAGACTTTGCAGAAGCAGCTTGTAAGTGCAATAGGCCTATAACTCGAAGCTAAAGAAGGGTCCTTGCCCTCTTTCAAAATGGGAATAATCATAGCCTTTTTCCAGAAGGTAGGGATAGTGCCAGAAAGTTTTTTTTTTGTTTTCACGTTTCGATTGGTAGGTTTTTTAACATTTCATACACCACACGGTCAGAACCTGGGGCAGAAGTACTGTAGGAGTATAGAGATGTCCGGAGCTCAGCTAGACTGAAAGCTTGGTTATATGCCTCGTTTCTAGTGCAGTTGTGTTCCAGTTTCTGCTTTTCTATTCTTGTTCTGTATTTTTGGAAAGTGTCAGTATAGTGGGACGAGCTGGACATCCGTTCGAAGTGTGCACCGAGGAAGTTTGCCTGATCTTCCAAGGTATCACCCTGAGTGTTTACGAGTGGAAGTGTGTGTACTTGTTTTCCTGCTATCCTACCAACCATGTTCCAGACTTTAGCCTCCTGTGTGTATGAATTGATCCCTGACAAAAACTTCTGCCAGCTTTCTCTTCTGGCCTGCCGACGCGTTTTCCTGCCTTGAGACTTTATTTTCTTGAAGGTGTCAAGATTTTCGGCTGTCGGTGAGTTTTGAAGCAACCTCCGTGCTCCGTTTTGCTGTTTGCGCGCGTTTCGGCATTCAGAGTTCCACCATGGGACACGCCGTCTTCCAGGGTGTCCATTTGTTTGTGGGATGCATTTTGTTGCAGCATCAATCAAAAACGCTGTGAAGTAGTCGACAGCAACATCAATGCTTAAAGTACATATGTCACTCCAATCTAGACGAGCGATTGTATAAAACTGTTCCCAGTCGGCTCTGTTTATGAGCCATTTGGGAACACGTGGTGGACACTCAGTTGCTGTAGTTGTACTCAAAACTACGGGGAAGTGGTCACTTTCGTACAGATTACTGACGACTTTCCACTGGAGTAGAGGCACAAGAGATGGAGATACTATGCTAAGGTCTATGGAGGAGTAGGTGTTATGAGCGAGATTATAACAGGTTGGTTCTTGTCGATTTAGGAGACACGCGCTCGACGAGAGAAGGAACTGTTCAATCAGTCGACCTCGCGCGTCGCAACGAGTCACCCCATAGCCTGCTATGTGCATCAAAGTCTCCAAGGAGAACATAAGGCTCCGGAAGTTCATCAATTAAAAAGTGTAAATCACGTTTTTGCAGCTGATAGCTAGGAGGAATGTAAATAGTACAAAGTGTGATCAGTGTATTAAAAAGAACCGCTCGAACAGTCACTGCCTCAAGGGATGTTTGGAGTTGTGTGTGCATGCAATCCCTTGATTCACTATAATGGCAACACCTCCGGATGATGTCATGGCATCATCACGATCCTTTAGAAAAATAACGTATTTTTGAAGAAAATTTGTGTGTTTTGAATTAAGGTGTGTTTCTTGTACACACAGCGCTTTTGGTGAGTGTTCGTGTAAAAGTTCTTGGATGTCGTCAAGGTTTCTGAGAAGGCCCCTGACGTTCCATTGTATAATTTGAGTGTTTATGGTGAATGTAAAATAGTGCTCTGTGTACGAAAAGCGAGTGGCTGTGTAGACGGGGAGTTTGAGTTCACGTAACAGGGCCGTCACCAGGCCCTGTTATCTGCTTTTTTGTTTTCTTGGCGCGCTCCAAGGAGTCATGCCGCTCTTTCGGCACCAAGGGTACCAATGTATCCATTGCCTCCTCGGAGGCACTGGATGCCCGCACAAGCGGGCTGTTAAGTTCGGATTTCGGGCCTCGCCTGGTGAGGCGAGGCCTCGAGACCCGAGGACTCTGAAGTCTCCGGTCTCTGTTTTGGATTAGGGGGTGTAGCCTGGGCTACAGCCGCCTTGGGGGCAAGTGCCACAACCGCCGGCTCCGTACGCGCGGGCCGAAGGAGTGGCGAAGGCTGATGCGGCGGTGCCCCCTGACGTGCCGCATCAGCGTATGTAGGTCCATAGAATGGAGTGACTCTTCGCCGTGCTTCCTTAAATAATATGTTCTCCTTCACCTTTAATGTAATTATTTCTTTTTCTTTTTTCCAGTATGTGCAGGAGCGTGAATATGCGGCATGGTTTCCTTCGCAGTTTACACAGTGTGGCGGTTGTTTGCAGTTCTCAGACACGTGGCCTAGGACTCCCCATTGTGCACAAGTCTGGCGACCACAACAGGACAGGTTTTAGAGCCATGGCCATACCTCTGGCATTAGAAGCAACGATGAGGGTTTCGTATATACGGCCTGATAGATGTCTTTGTGTACCCTGTTTGAATAGATTCTGGTAGTTTACTGGATGCAAACGTGAGTATTAAGTGTTTCGTCGGTATTTCCTTGTTATCTCTTCTGATGATAATTCTCTGTACATTATTGACATTTTGGCTCTTCCACCCTTCCAAAAGTTCAGTTTCGGTCAGGTCAAGTAAGTCTGCGTCAGATACCACTCCGCGAGTGATGTTCATAGATCTGTGTGGTGTTACGGTGATCGGTACGTCACCAAATGTTGAGAGGCTGTCTAGCTTTACAAATTGTGCTTTGTCGCGAATTTCGAGGAGAAGGTCTCCGCTAGCCATTCTGGTTACTTTGTATTCAGCCCCGAGAGTTTTGGTAAGACACCTGGCAACTACAAAAGGAGATACGGTCCTGGCTTGCTTTCCGGTTTTTTCACAGTGAATGACGTGGAAGTGGGGAAAAGTTTCTATTGGCTGGTTGAAGAAATTTATGTCATCGGTGCGTACCCGCTTTAGGCCGGTACGATCAGACAGTAGAGGGAATGCTCCATGCATGCCGGTCTTATTTTTGTTCAGCAGCATTGGCAGCCACCTATCACGGAGCCCAACAAGGGAACGCTGCATGTTTGCAGGTGCTGAAAGCTTGCAGATGTCAGCCGTACAACACTGCCATAACCCAATGCGCCTAGACCAAGGTAGGCTATTTGCACAGAGTTAACCCTTGCCGCCAGGAAAATTGGAAGTAAACAGAAGAGATGAGTAGACAGGACAGACTGAAAGAGAGAGATAAAGACGAAGTTGTAGGGGAGAGAGATAGGAAAAGGCGACTGCCGATTTCCCCTGGGTGGGTCAGCCCAAAAGCCGTCTACGTGAAGCCGGGGCCAAAGGGGTGTGTTGCCTCTGCCGGAGGGCCTTAAAGGTCCAATCACCCGGCGTCGGCTCAACCCCCAGAATTCCCTTTTCCCCGGACATGGCAAAGCCACGCACGGCTAGGCATTGGAGGGAGTCGAAACTCTCCCATTAGCTCGGGTCCGTGGTGTCGCTACGCACCAAACGCCTACTTACGCAGACACCTCTGCGGGGAAAGAAAAACGAAGGTTTCTTTTGAGGTCTCTGTAACCTATGGCAGGTCAGGATGTTTGTTTACATGAGCTTTGATTTGATAAATCGGAATTCGAACTGGAGAGCTGAAAACAATGTACGGTCTATTTCAAAGTAATGTTCTCGGAGAATGCTTGCAGCTGTGTAACCAATTTAGTAGTTGTCATTACTGGTCATTGAAAGATAACTTAATTTTATTACCCCCCCAAAAATACATGTTGACAAGTTGTGTTAGTCTTCTCCCATGCGAAATGGGGTAAAGAGCTTTTGTTTAAAACCTGTCTAAGCACAGCAGTGTTATGTACCAGGGGCCCGAAGTTTTGACTTTTTTGCTTTTGTTAGCTATCAAGTTAGTACCTTTTGCTGGACGTTTTCTAAAGACTCGATTGTCTTGTTGATGACTTCTTCAGTGATTTGCGTGCCCGAATCACCATTTCCAGGAATTTCCAGTGCAGCCATCTAGGAGAAAATGCATACGTCTCAGATACCAAAGCAAGGGCAAGATATTCGAATGGTACAAGCGTAAGTCCACACCAAGAAGAATGAAAGGCCAACTCACCAGACTGTGCAAGAGGCCCCCAACAAACAGAAGGCTTTTCAGAAGGCTAGGAAGAGTCTCAAACCCTCTAGCAAAAAGCAATAACTTAAACCGAAAAATACACCCTGCACCAGATTCAGCGATCGTGCAGGTTTTTAAACTATAACTTGAGACAAATCTGCAGACAAACTAAAATACTGTCAACACGAGTCATACGTCTAGCAATACATTGCTTCAATAAGCTCCCCAAGCTGCGCAAATTAGAAAAAAAACTGCGCGTCAGTTGGCCCACCTACGTTTTTGAAAACTTTGAACATGCGCAGCCTTTTTTCAATATGCTGCTTATGCTTCTCCCATACAACTTCATCAATCTTTTTGTGACTGATGATGGCACACCTTCGATGCACTCATCCAATCCCACAAAACAATGAAGCAGCCACAAAACATGCCTCACTGGAGGGCTATAAGTTATTTGACGGCCAGCCTACTTTCATTTTTTTTTTCAGAGTCCTCAAAGTATGTTACCCTTCACGTTAAACCCCCTCTAGAATGGGAACATAATGTCCAGGTATCGAACCCAGAACCCTGTGTACAGCGATGAAGCACCCTACGGATGCTACCCCACAATGAGGTAGTACGGATATAGCAAAGCTAAATTGACGAGAATAGGTGGCAATGGTTCTGGCCACAAGTGTGAGAGGTAACTACTGAGTTAACCTGTCCCCGCTAGGAACTGATCAGGTTTGCATCATCCAAGTCCTGAGCACTGGGAGCAGATGACATTTTTCAAATTTGCAAGAGAAGTGCTTTGCAATAATAAAGAAATAAAATAGATGCTCACCTCAAGAGCACACATCCCAAACGAGTATATGTCAGCGGCAGGTGTTACGACAGACGCAGCTGGAGAAAATATAATAATGCTTAGCATCAAAGAAATTAATTAAAAAATAGAACTGCACTAAGCTATGCTAGAATAGCTTGTGACTCAAAAGAGTCCCAGAAGTGACCCTCAACAACGAAGGGTCAAATGAGAGTGGAGGAAAAAAAAAAGAAGACAAATGATGAAAAGAAAAGAAGATCGAGGATGTTACCACCGAGAAGAAGAAAAGGGAAGAGAAGAAAAAGCGGCACAGTGCCAGACACGTACTCGACTTACTTCCGTACTCGGGTGCCACAAAATGAACATTCTTGATGTTTTCCCGAAATGTTTTGACATGGTGGTTGATTGCATCAGGTGCCACTGAAATGACAAGAGGGAGGTTTCAAGATAACAATCACGCCAGACTAAAGCGAAACCATGCCTACAAGACACATCAGAAGCCATTCCACTGCAGTAGTGGTGCCACATGGGCGCATTTGATCAGGACTGATCGGTTCGGATTCTCAGTTGCGACGAATGGATGCTGCTACATGATCTACAGTGATCCCGATAGAGCTGGGCACAGACGCCAGCCAAATTGCATCGAAGAAATAATGACGATGAAGAAACGGTGCAAAATATGGGGCAGAAAAAATCGCAAACCAATAGCACATCAGGTACCACAGACACTTCCTGGGGCTTCTTTTGCCAAAAGAATAAAAACTGAAATTCTGTGGCTGTGTGTGCCCGAAACATGTAACAATTACAAGGCATGCCATAGTAAGAGGGCTCCAGACTTACTTCTGTCTACCTGGGCTCCTTGAATGCATACCTAAATATAAGTATACACTCATTGTTTATGAAAGGTAACAGCCGAACGCGTGACCCACGCGGTCTAGCGGCCAACTTGCAGCACCTTGAAGAGGGAGCAGGAGCAACCACAATCTTGTTTCGAGTCCTCGTGTGGCGAGCAAAACAACCAGTCATGGGTGATATGCAACCGGCTACAAAACTGCAACCCCCTCCCACTATCAAGGTGATTATGCAAGAGGCCAGCCACTCATCTTCTGCTCGTGAACTATGCTTGGTATTAGAGCGCACACAAAACGGGGAAACTCTGCCACGTGGATATCACACATCACACTTTGGCTAATTTAGAGTGATTTAGCCGACAGCAGTGCACTCAGGTGAACTTTCTTTGCTGGTTCGCTCTTGTGAAGTCTCTCATAACATGTCATGGAAAATATTCTGGGTAGAATCCCACTTCGCAGAGAACGTGTTGCCTGCCAATGCAAAATGTACCATACTACGTTTCACACATCAGGTGCAAGTTCGGCCAGCAAAACGTATCTCTGGTGCATCCTCGCGTTTCATTGTGCTCCCCTTTGGAGCGACTGGCGAACAAAAAAAAGCGGGGAAAGCACAAAAGAAGACTGGGTCCAACTCTGCAATATCCTCCCCTGCGCTGACACTGTGTGATGAAACAGAAAGCCTAGGTGGCCACCATCGTGACATACACAGAGCAGAGAGCCTGTACGCGACGCCACGTGTAAACCAAGATATACAGCCGCGTACTAAGAGACGGTACATGGCGTTTTTGTTCGTAAGGCACAAAATCACTTGAAGTTCGCCATATTAACGAATATGAAAATTCTGTTATTGGTGGCAAGAATAATAAACAATTTTTTGTTGCAAATGCATTGACTGCAAGAAGTGTCGCTAGCCTCGATGGCGTTGCAGATGATTTACGAAACAGAGTATAGTATGTCGGCGCTCAATGCTCTTTAAGTCATGCACAAAGACTCCTGCTGGTGTTGCGATGAGAGCGCAAGACAGTACTGCAAAGCAAACAAAAGGTGGCCTCGCCCGTCTCCAGATCTAAGCATAATCGAAAACGCGTGGGCACTTTTGAAAAGTGTGCTGGTCAGCTGGTCATTACATAGACTGATCTCATTTGTGCGACAAGAACTGCCATATTACCGTATTTACTCGATTCTACCGCGCCCTCGATTGTAACGCGCACCCGATTTCCACCGCGGAAAAAAAAAAAAAAAAACGTAAGACATCAATTGCAACACGCACCCATTTTTCTCGCTGGCCCGCACGATCACACCACTCGAAAAAACGACTCCTTTCGGGAGCGTCTTCCATTTAAATATGAGGTACGGGCGAAGCTTGTGCCAATCTGACGTGTAACAGAGCATTGCCGTCACTGTAGTTTTACCGTGGACCAATGTCAGCACGCGAACTTGCTTCGCCCTTTCTTCTCGACGGTTGTGGTGCCAGGCATGTCGAAGTAAAGAGGCGTCTGATCGGCATTCCCGATTTGCCCAAGCAGGTAGCCGTTGTTGCGCCGCAAGTTTAGGACGAACCTCTGAAAACTGTGAAGCTTTTCATCGTACTCCTCCGCAAAACTTTTCGCATATGCATGTTCCCCTTCGGAGGGAAAAGCCTTTCCTCTTCATGAAGTTAGTTAGCCAGCACCTGCTCGCTTTAAACTGGCTCCGCATTAGACCTTTTTCTAAGACTAATTGCATAGCCCGCACTTGGAGCAGTTCTGTCGTCACGGGCCGCTCTGCCGCTCGCTGCTCAAGCACATACTCGCCGAGCAGCTCTTTAATTTGCGAAAACCGACCCTTCTGTGGTCCACTGAAGCCTTTGCATGAAGCTTTGCTGTCGACAACCTTCTGCTTTTGTTTCCGCCGATCCCGCACGCACGTTTCGGGAACTCCGAACGACCGCGATGCGGCCCGATTTCCGTCCGCTTCTGCACACGCGATGACTTTTCTTTTAAAAGCGGCATCTTGCTGCACTCAAGTTTTTGGAGTCGGCCCTTCCACGCCGTCGATGCTAATGCACTACTAGATGACGAACTCCTCAGCACACGTACGAAGTGCCGCACATGGGAAACACATAGGCAGAAATGGCTGACGCGCCATGCTGACGCGCCATGCCGACGCACGTAGGGGGCGGCCATTTTGGATTTGCCGATGGCAATAGATTGACCATATTTTTTTTGTTCGTACTCGATTCTAACGCGCATGCAATTTATGAACTTGCTTAACGGGAAAAAAGGTGCGCGTTAGATTCGAGTAATTACGGTAAGCGTACAGCTCATCTGGCCTTTTTTTCCTCAGCTAGACATGCAGACTAGTTTGGCGAAATGAAAATGAGCAGGAGTGCTTCTATCTCGTACCGATTATCTACTGCTTATTTGGCAACAGTTATGTGGTTACTTCTAAACCGGGGCACTCAGATTTTCCGGTTTGATTTGGTTTATGCAATAAATACTAGTACTTAAATTGTAGCTCATTTCAGAGCACATTTTAGACAACCTGCCATTGTTTATTTCATGAAATTCACAGTTGTCTGTTAAGTATATGTCATAAGAAATATTGGTATTTACAAAAACGTAAAAAGTCACTTCCATCACTGGAACCCCTACCGAGTGCAGCTTTGGAGCCGGCTGCACATCAATCATGACTGGTTGTTTTGCTTCCCGCTAGGCGACATGAAAAGAGGCTGTGGTTGCTCCCACTACCTCTTAAAGGTACTGCAAGCAGTCGACGGAGCGTGCGAGCTACGCATTCACGCGTTCCCTTCCATAAAAATTGACAGCGTACAAAGTTTTTTTTGTATTGTATGCCCTGTTAAGATTTTGTTGTCAGCGCTGGCTTGGACCCTTGGGGGAGTGTGTCATAATTATAATTTGGATCATTTGCCTTTTTTTTTTTAAACTGTCCTTACCACTTTCGCATTCAAGAACACTGTCACAACAGCAGTGAACACAGTTTTTGCAACCTGAAGGTACCACCTTCACGGTGTCAAAGCAAGAAAATAATAATGTGTGGTGTTTTACATCCCTAAACCACAAAAATTGGGGGACCCATAAGCTTCGCCTTTAAGAGTTGAACGCAATAGCAAAATCAGGCCCCTAGTGCACCCTTCAACCGCTAAGTGCATACTTACTCATATGTTTTGTTACATACACATGCATGCACACAAACACGCACACAGTAGATTGGACCAGCGCACGCTATCATCGCAGAAGGGGCTCGTTTTCGTCGTGACACCTGTCAAACAAAATGTGTTATAAGGGTCGTGAAACACTGGAATGCATTGGAGTGAAGCACTGGAAAGTAACCCTGGAATGCATTGAGTAGGAGAGCTTATTTCCACACAAATTCAACGCCGCAAAAATTTTAAGAATCCGTCCAGTGCGAGTGGAGTTACAATGGTTTGTTGCACGCTGCAATTGCATTATCTCTTCTCTCGTCCCGACGAAAGCGCCAGAAGCTAAGCAGGGAGGGGTGGCAGGGCAAAGAAACTATCGCGCTTCGTGACCATGAGCACTTTTTTTCTTCCAATGCGCGGCTTTTCCAGTTTGATCGTGCGGGCACGTGTGGACAAGTAGCGGCCTTTCGCGGCTATCTTGGTAACTTGATTTATCGGTCACAAACTCACATGATTTTTCGCTCACAACTAACGGGGCCAACGCCGGCGGCGCATTTTCTGCGACACGAGCTCTCCAACGTTATCGCGTTAAAACATTATGAAAGATGCTGTAGCGGAGGGCTCTTAATGTTTTAACCATCTGGTGTCCTTTAATGTGCACCAACATTGCACAGAATACGGGCCCCGAGCATTTCGCTTCGAACGAAATGAGACCGATGCGGCCGGCATTGGACACGATACCTTAGAGTCGGGCACCCAGTACCTTGACCAGCATGGCAGAAAAACCAAGAAAAGGCACGCGAGATAGAATGCTTATTTATTATTGTTGCAAGGCAGAAAAGTACCTGAACGAGTGCAAGTGTGTTTTTAAAAAGCGCAGACAGTACAGCCAACATATCGGAAACAGCACCAGGGAATTCGTGACAAACTGCCGAGCCATCAGAGCACAGTAAATAGATAAAAAAGAAAAAGTGGTGGGGGGGGGGGGCAACGCACCTGATCCAATTTTTACAAGGCCATTGTGCTGGATGAAAATGGTGTCGCACGTCATGTTCCCGTGCAGGATGGGTGGCAGACACGAGTGGAGGTAACTGTCGAGGAGGAACAGAAAAGGCACTGTTGAGGAAACTCCCGACACTTAGCGCCTCGGGTCGGCCACCGCAAAGAGTGCAGCACAACCGTCAGCCAAGGACGGGCAACAAATGTGGCGGCGGGCGACGGCTCCCGCCGCCGCGCGTAAATATAGCATCAAATGCTGGGACCACACCTTAGTGCCGAGAGAATCTGGTTGCACCATCTCTTCCAGGCCTAAAACAAAAATTGCAAAGGTGATGACGCGTGCCAGCGACACGACACAATCCATACGTTGAGCACAGCGGTAGGCAGAAACAACTTTCGCTGCCAAGAGGTGGCGTGCATGGAGACTGAGCTACATGCCACCCTGCACACTAGTTCTCTCCAGCCGACAGAGGGGGGAAAAAAGAGGGAGAAATTTTGAGAAGCAGGAATTTCTGGGCTACAGAACAAGTTGACAAGTGAGCTGCCCCAACTAAGGGCCAAGGCCTACTATGATGATCACCAATTCTATTCAAGAGAAAAATGTGGGAGCCGTGCCACTTGCTAAAGGCACCTATGGCCAACAAGAAACGAGACCATGTAGGTCAGTCTCCAGCAAAAGCAAGGATGGCAGACTGATTTGCAGTCAAAATGGGTGCAATAATATAAAACTAACTTCTCCAATTCTTCAAGTGGTGGCAATATATACAGTACAGTAAGGTTTTGCACTCTAGGTACCGACGTTTCCAGATATTCAAAGTTGTTAAAGCCGATTTGCTCCTGTAGTTCCTTTTTTTTTTTAAAAGGTGAATCTGCAGTGCCACACACATAGGATGAACACAGAAATGCTCAAGTAAAAGCTGTAGAGTTTTTCAACAAGAGCTTCAAATGGAGCCTAATCATTTTGCACATTGTGCAAGTTTTTACTCTATTGAAACATCCTGTGACTTTTCATTACACTGCTTTAAGATAACAAACACTTGGTGCCACCAGCATGCAAACAAGCATGGAGATATTGACTGGTAGTGTGCACAATGCAAGTGAGTGGGACCACGATACATTTACTGAAGTACGCTACTTTGAATTTTGCATCAATATCTAGGCAAAGCAACCGTACATCTAGATGTAGATGCAGAATTACCATACCATAGATTTCACACCCATGCATTTATGTGATTATGCTGTATACAAACAAGCTCTTTGATCAATTAAGAGCAATATAATCAACCAATTGACCTTTTTGTTATGCACTACACGGCAATATGGGGACTTTACCGATAGAAAGTTTTAGGTGAGCATTGCCGTCTGCTTCATTCAAAATTTCATGTGCTGATACACTGTAGCCAATTAAATACATCTCGCATTTCTGAAAAATGTACCTGGAGAGGCATGCTCGACTTGGCTACAGAACAGAGAAGCCATACCGTACAGAATATGGAATTCTGTGCACGTGCAACAATGATTCCAATAGGACAGCTATTGCCAGTACACAAGTCTAAATCGAGCAGACTGATTGCTCAGCTAAAGCTTTGCCCAATTAACTGGGCAATACCAGAACCAATCTGATTTACGTACAGGAAACACTATGCCAGCCAAAATTATGCCAAACTTAATCACAAACATCTCAATGCTTTGAGTAATTCTTCTTTTTTTTTTTAAGTTATAAGAGAGACTTCAGTCCCATACTTACAGCATTATTTTAGTTGCGAGATTTACAGTCAAACAGCTTCGCACAAAAAAAAAAATAACAAAGATAAACAGAATAAAAAATGTGGTTTTGCTACGAAATCAGGAAGCAGAATTATTGCCTGCGCTTTGCAATATACATAAGCATCCAATTAATAATGACATGCGAAGTCACAAGTAAGGCCTCAGCAAAACGGCAGTTCATCGTTCATCACCTTGGAAGAAAAAACTGGATGACATCGCACAATTTTATTTATGTTTTTATGATGCAGCAATCGTGACTTTTCCAAATTCATTCTTAATGTAAAATTAAAAATTTTGAATGTGCATCTTTGAGAGAAAGCTGAGCAGAATAACAGAATCATAAGACATTACCCTACAGCCACACTAAAAAGTTTACGGACCATTAGATCTGAAAAAAAAAAAAAAAAAACTGCCTAGCAGTTTACGATTAAAATTGGCAGAACTATATCACACAATATTGTCCAGCCTGAAAGTATGAATGTCACACGTTGCGTTCCAAGGCTGCAGCGATACAAAATTTCTCCGAAGTCCTGCAGTCTAAGCTTTACTAGGGTGACTGTATGCAAGAGGCTACCCACTGTACCCAATTCTGCAAGGAAATCTCAATGCTTAGACAAGCGAGTCCCAGCTATTCAAATATTAATTAAAAACTAAGCCGTGCCACACACACAATGGTAAATTAATACAGTTACCCGATTTTGGATAATATGCTCAGACTATGAGTGCCAGTGCCTCGTAACAAAAATGAGCCTAGCAAATGCAGTATAATAGCTTTGTTTGCAAAGTCTCATTAACTCCGACGTCTGCGTTTTTCTGTTACAGCCCATTCCTTCACAATTAACTCTACGGATTCAAAAGATATATAAAATTCTACATTTACATTCTTATATGCACCCACATTAATCTTTATAAAGAAATGATGCGCACTTGAAAAAAAAAGTAGCTTCCTTTCAATAACAATGCCCAAGCACATAATATATTGCCGCGAACCATGCATTGGGTTTGTTTATTTGTGTTTTGTTTTTTCGGCCTGGCAGCGCCGGCCTGTGCTATCGCCGTTTTCACAGCGTTTCGAACACACGCTATCGAACAACGCTTCCAGCGTTGTTTGTTAAAAACGCTGTTCGAACGAACAGCGTTTCTAACAAACGCTATCACGGCGTTCCCGATACAATTCGACTATTCGAGAAACGCTCGTGCCGAGGGATATAAATTCCCGCACAGCCAATGCCGCGTCATTCGATCGCCGACGCTCACTAGCGTGCCCGTCGTTTTGCTGGCCGCTGCTTCGCCGCCTGTGTATTTTTTTCAGTTGTTAGGGGAGCACAGGTTCGCTCCAATAAACTTGTTTTCCTCATAGACAACTGCGTCGTCCTTTGCTACGTGACAATATGTTCAAGTACTGAAAGCAAGATAGGCAACTTAGTACTAGTAAGTTGAGAGATATTTGCAATATTACTAAACACATTGGGCAACTGTATTGGCACCAAAATTTCCGAGACAATGGGATGACAAAGAAACAATTACTGCATTTACACTTTGCACTTCACTGAAAGAGGCAAGCGACGCCTTCAAAGGGGTCCAGAAGAAACAGCTGAAAAGTGGAGTATTATTACTGAATCTTTCTTTTCCTAGCCGTTTTGAGGGCTCACTAATTTAACTTCAACGGACACATTTGCACACATGCATACACTGCAACAGAGCACCGTGAAAATGTATTTCTGTGAAGCTACTTTGGTACCTGGCAAGTGGCTACATGATGACTCCTCCTCACCTCATTCACAGCGATTGCCAACCGAATGTCGCAACATACCCGGTTTTAACTGAACCTATACAAAAAGCCCACACAACAAAAAGTCTATTCAGACGCTGTCCCGCATCTGCCGTTCTACAATACCTAATTAAGCTGCAGGGAAAGGTCGTCATCGCCACGTCGTCAGATTGTCCTTAAGTCTTATCTTTAATAACCGTTCCTAAGTGTTTAACCTCTCGTCAGTGCAATTTCAGTCTAGAGATTTGGCATATTCTCAACTCCTGCAGATTTTTCTGGGACCCCTCTTTCAGGCGCACTTTCAACGAGACAAGACAACAACGTAAAGAAGAACGGTGCTAGCGTCGGCATGTACCTGCAGGGGAAGCTTGATGACATTGCGTTTAGTTTTCTTCAGGACTGCTTCAGTGACCCACTGGACATGTACTCGGTGATGAAAATGACTCGGGGCTTCTCGAGTCTTGTCCATCCAGTACTTGTGGATCTTGACTATGTTTGGATGCTCGAGCTGAGCCAAGCTGTCAAAGACCTCGCGTATTTTCTCCTGCTAGAGAGATAAGTGCCAAATTTCAAAGTTGCACGAGCACCCTGGAGGAAGAGCTGCCACTTTGGCTCTTGCTGCACATACTCAGGGGACCCACCTTAAGGGGGTTTTTCACTGCATTAAAATCTTATTATTCATCAATCTTATTCATCAATCTGCATCAATCTTATTAAGCCATTCGAGTTTACAAATATGTTATGTACCAATTTCAAGTATGCAATTATTTTCTGTAGTGCAATATGCATTTATTTTATTTGATACATTTAACGAGCCCTTTGGGTAGCAAGCATTTCATAAACAAAGAGTTACAAAGTAAATCGGCAGAACACAATAACTTGGAATCGGAACATCCAATTTTTGTTGTAGTGCATGCAGTTGAGATTGCAGCTTATTGAGATATGCCTGATCGACTTTGAAACTCAATTCTCTGCGATATCTACCCTTAGAAGGTTTGCATGCATAGTTAGGCGTTAGGTACATTTAAGTTGCCTGACAAGACAGATGTTCAAGGAAACATGGAAGGAGTAAAATGATAAAAAGTCACGGAAGGAATAACGCTGAAGCAAATTTTCGACAAGCAGGTTCGTATTGAACCAGGAAAGGCCGCTTTGTTGAAACACTGAATTCAGTAACATTCTTTATTCAACCATTGCTTACGACTTCTACTTACACAATGTGAAAGATACTCCCATTTAATACACATGGTCAGAAAATTTCTCGCTACCAAATCCGTACTTTCACTTTCGCTTGCATAGTTGCCCCTCAATGTCTTAACTGTCACTCCAGTTACATTACCTAAGCAATGTCATTCTGAAGGAAGACTAGGTTTGAAATGGCAAGCTTCATACTCTTCTTTTGCGACACGTTTAGGAAGCATTGCTCTTTGTCTTGGTGCTATGATACTATCAACGACACCAAGCCAACTGTTTCAAGTCCGTTTTTGATATCACGTGTAAAGGCTCGTTAAATGCTTCTTAGCTTCGACTCCTGCCAAACTGTAATGTCAAGCAATATTTAGTAGAGTTTCTATAGTTATACTCAACATACGCAAGTTAAGGTGGGCATATCCTGACAGGGTAACTTAGTGCAGAATTTCCAGCAAGGCTTCCCCACCTCTTTGGCTTTGAAATTTTTCCTCTCAGAGAACTTGACTTCGTTCCAGACAACCTCGACACCCTCCTCAGTGTCCATCGCAAGGTACGCGGCATCTATGCCTGGAATGTCTCGCTGTTGAACCTACAGGCAAGAACAACGAAAAAATTTTTAGACTTACATAAGCAAGACAGCCACTAAATGCGGCCCGGCCAGCAAGTAGACACATGGCAACACTGCAAACACGTGTTAAGTAAAACGCCTGTTAGTAAATGGAGCAGTGCAGATATTGATTGATATGTGGGGTAACGTCCCAAAACCACCATATGATTATGAGAGACGCCGTAGTGGAGGGCTCCGGAAATTTCGACCACCTGGGGTTCTTTAACGTGCACCCAATCTGAGCACACGGGCCTACAACATTTCCGCCTCCATCAGAAATGCAGCCGCCGCAGCCGGGATTCGAACCCGCGACCTGCGGGTCAGCAGCCGAGTACCTTAGCCACTAGACCACCGCGGCGGGGCAAGCAGTGCAGATATACCAATTTCAACTCTTCAGATTTTACACACAGTTTGCAACCGTTCCTAGAGGGAATTCCGGCACAACCTTCTTGCTCGTAGAAGTATAGCAGTTCAACCATTATGATTACAATAAGTAGAGCCCACGCATTTGGCTACAACTTTGGGTTTTTGTTTATGGGCAGTATTGAGACACTGCATAGTGGCAACAAAACCACGATCCTGCGAATGCTGGCGAGATTCACCCGTGTCAAAGTACTGTGCCACAAGTGCAACAATTATTCACAGGCTTGGGAACTTATTGCCCACATGCTTTTGGAAAAAAACATGTTTTTAGCAAAGGTGGTGTTCAAAATCGCATTCCGGGGACAAGTATCTCTGTGGATAGCAAACGGATCACAAAAGCTACACTTGAATGACATGTTTTAGAAACTATTTTGGAACCGCAACTAGTCGCATGCTGTACCATTAGGTTGCCTCTTGTTCGGAATCTGTAGTCCCTTGAAGTGGGACAACCTTTGTCATTCTCATGGTCCAGCGACAAACTATAAATTGGCTAAGAATAGCTCCCAACGAAGCACGATTTTCCATGAGAAAATAGAGGCAGCATTACTTTCTGTGCTTTCATTGTACGTTCTTTTCACTACAAGAAATATACGACCCTAGAGAAAGAAGTGATAAGCTGTGTGTCAAGCAATATAACATTATCTTCACTAAATCATGGATCGCTAGATTTGGTAACCCTGAAACTGGTAGTCATATCTTAACAATAATCTTTTCCAAGGCACTTTTTCTGCCACAAACCAAACTACAGCCCCCACTTGCTTTGTATCAACAGTGGTACACAAGCTTTGTGCCCAGCCATCTAAACTTGATCTGCAAACTAAAGAGGACGGCATGAATGATGGATTTTTCATTTTTGGAAAGTTGATTTGATCCTGCAGTCCGTTGTTTTGAACAAAAAACAGCCGACTATCCCCTCTGTCTGGTTTCTTTGTCCAGTCTTGGTCGTAAGGACGAAAATAGAGTTTTCGTTTAAACTGGAATTTCACAGCTTCTGTTTACCTTCGGTATTTTCCTTCCTACATGAACCGCTATAAGAAACCATTTAGTTGTCACAAGCACAGCAGCACGAGCGGTTAGCTTCAGTCGTCAACAAAGTATAGTACAAAGAAGCAAGATTATGGGCAGCATACAGTTGGCATCAAGAGGTTAGAGACTACTTAGTCTCCAACCCATTTTGCGACTGCATTTGGATAAACTGCCCCACACATGTTAGAGCACTTTGCAACAAGCCATATACAGTGTTGCATAGAGAAGAAAAAGGAATATTCAGATATTTCCAGTGTCTCCTGGTTTGTAAGCTTTCTATGTTGACTGTACAATTGCACCACAGTGGAGGCAACAGCTGGCAATGTCCTAAACAGACAAAATGAAAAAAAAGAATGATCAAAGCCTTGATTGTTCCAAGTAAACATTACAAAATATTACATATTTGTAAAACTTGTCTGGTATGACAGAAGCAGTGCAGATAGACACGTTTTGACAACCAAGTTAGAACTTCATACACAATGCTGCCATGCCTGTTTTTACCGAGATCTGAGTGGGAAATCTGCACAATTCATACACCCTCCCCTTCTTTATTTCTCAATGCTTTTCTTTCTTTGTCCAATATTGCGGTGAACATATTCACGTCCCAACAGGTTCGTTTTTTTTTTTCCTCTTTCTTCTCTTTCTGACAAATTACAAATGGGCTTGCGGTGCTGGTAAGCGGCCTAACCAATGCGCAAGATCACGCAATGGAAGTTTTCCCGACACACTCATTCGTGTTTTCAAAGATCGTCGCTGCAGGGGAAAAAAACGAACAGAATGCGAACATCTCGTGCATGACGTCATCGCGAACACGGCCGCGACAGATAAAATAAACAAGCAAAACGACAAACATATCGAAGAGACGGGAAGCCACTACGGCTGAACAGCGTCGTCACGCGGCTGTCAAAACTCGTCACCCTCCTACGCACTTGTCCGAGCCGCGCCGCTTCGGCGGCGAATCCTTTGTAAACTTCCCTAGGGTGCCTGGCAAGCAACATTGCGCCTACTATCACTCCGGCAACTCGCGCAACCAATAAAGAAAACATATAGATCAACCGTAAAAGGGCAACACCCGGGGCGTTTTCAATCCGATGGTCAGGGAGCGCCATCAGAAGGCTGTTCTTGAAGAAAATTGCCAGAAATTAAGTCGCCAAGCGAACAGCGCTATTTATTGCACCGCCGAAGCTCTCGATTTGTCAAGACTACCAGTTGTCAGCGGCGCCCTACGCGACCCAATTCACGCCACTCTTCCTCGCCTGGGAAAAAAAAAATTGATCGTGATAAAACAAATGAATTATTCGAAGGTGCTACCTCTGTCCCTCCGCTTGAGCCATCGGCCGCAAGGACTTTCTTCAAGGATCTCGCTTTCGTCTTCCGAATCGTCGCCGCTTACACGCTGTTCGTTGGATCCCTGAGGAATCTTGCAGTCTTTCGCGTCACCCATGGTAGCGCCGAGAGGCTTCGTGAATTTCGATCATGCGGCACACATCGAATCGGGAGTATGTTACAACCTCGAACCTGATCGCGCTCTAACTATCGTCCCTCCCAAGCTTGTTCCATTGATGGCGATGCCAGCGCCGCCGCTCGTGCGACCAGAGAACCACAAACGTGTGGCATTTGAGCTACCCCTCTGCATGCCTCCGCCGCTTAGAGTTTCCCAAAGTAACTAGAAAGCACTTCTGGCGCTGCGATCGGTTAGTGGCGCTAGCCACCGCCCAATCTAAAGGGTACTGCCATATCCATTCATCCATTTCGTTCAGGGACCATGGGAGTGATCACGGATTCCTTCCTCCGTGAGAGTGATTGATGGGTAGTAGTAGTAGAGTGTACTAGAAGCTTTTGAGTGGCGCGAGCGGCCGCCTGGGACTGGGAGCGGCCGTTTCGGCGTGGAATGATGCGGTGGCGCTGGCGTCGACCAATCTACCCGGGCGGATGGCTGGCAGGCGTTCCGCGTACGTGTTGGTACCTCTCTGTCGCGCCAAGTGTGAAGATGATCTCCCTCTTTTTTTTCTTATTCACATACCTCCCCTTTTCCGCGCAAATAAACGTTATTTGACATTATTGTTATTGAAGTTGCTGCTGACCGCACTGCAGCCCGAAGCAGCATAGTACATTGTACACTATACCGAGGCGCGTTTTTTTTAATTTTTAAAGTGTACATATTTTATACGAGAAACCAGCTGGCCGGTACACACCCAGAAGCGCCCCCTCCCTCCCAAAAAAAGAAAAGGAATATGCTGCACACAAAACGAAGAACTCTTGGTCGATTGCACGTAAACACCACAAGCTGGACTCAAATAAAAGGCTCGTTGCTTGTGGCTGCGTGCACACACGACAAAAAAGTAGGCTTTAATGATATTATTTGAAGAACAGCAGAGTTTTTCCAAACCTCTTTTTGGTTTTGAAATATGGGAATATATTCATTGTTGTAGGACCCACAGAAATGCAAATACGTAATACTGCAGAAGAATGTCTTAGGTGAACATAGTAGTCGAAGATTTTGAGAGTTTAAAAAACGCAACAATACTGCAAAGCAAAGTCGTGACTAATGATAATCTTAATTGATAATATAAGTATCCAAGGTTTACATATTTAAAAAACAATACATTTGGACTTAGGTAAATTGTAAAAACGTAAAATATAGAGCCAGGATACAAAAGATAACATAAAACAAAGCAAACAAAACGACAGAGTTTAGGTTGTCTTTCCAAATGCATTTAAATAAAAAAAATATGTTTTGGTCGAAACATCGTTTAAAGGGACACTGAAGTGTTACAATGAATTGGCTTAGATTAATTAATTATGCACCGAGATCCCTAATCGTCATTTTGCGTCATTTTGCGACTAAAACCGAGATGCCGGTCATGCCGCCGAGTCAGCCGAGTAAACCAAGTGGGTAGATTGGCGATGGCAGCGCCGCCGCTACTTTCGCCACAAGTTGGGGATGGAGAAAGCAAGGGGAAAGCGTTTCGGTCGCGCCACTCAAAAGTTCTAGTACACTCTAGTAGTAGAGTGTATTAGAACTAGAATCTCGGTTTTAGTCGCAAAATGACGAAGAAGCAGCGTCTAAACCATTGTTACGCGCCAGGTTGCACAACTGGATATCCACGTGTGCAACAAAGTCGGAAGTTATCGCTTTTTAAGGCCCCGAAAGACGAAGAACGACGACTTCTTTGGGAGCGGAACCTCCATCGGCTTGACAAGCCACTTGACGCCGATTGTGCTGTGTGCGAGTTACATTTCGAACCGCATTTCATTGTGAGAAACTACGTACATTTTATCAATGGTGTTCAAGTCCGAATTCCTAGGGGAACGCCGACAGTTGCCCCTGATGCAGTCCCGACGATCTTGCCCAACCTGCCTGCATATTTGACGCTCAAAACTCCGGCTCCGCGGACCCAAACAAAGCGGCGGCATCAGTGTGTGCCGGCTGAGAATGACAACAGAAAACGGCGACGCATTAGCACTCCTGCACAGCTCCTTGTGGATACCAACGGTGCAACTTCTTCAGATGGCGACGAAGCTGACGAGACAAGCTCAAGTCCCTCGTCTGACGCGGTTGTCACTCTCGGTGACCTTCGTGGTCTTGTCCTACCATCAAAGTCATGAGCGCTGCACGAGTTTCCTGGATTTGATGGCGTGTCGTACTTAGGGTGCTCACTGAACCTCGTGAACACTCGTAGCACTCGTGAACTTTGCATTCAACGAGCCGAATACTTCACCTGTTTGAACAAGTCGCGGGATGAGAAACGAAGAAGCGCACAGCAGCACCTAAAATTGAGTAGGCTATAAAATGCTACAGTGGCGTAAAAAGGATGTCATTTTTCGTGCATATTTTCTTACACACATAATTTTTGGACGGTACACCCAGAAGAAAAACAATTTTTCCTAGAAGAGGCTTGTAAGCGAGAGAACGTGCAAATAATGACGCGAAATCTCAAAATAAATCTTTGATCTTGAATCTTTTTGTATTAAACCTGTGATGGTAAATTTAGCAGCATTAGGGATCTCGTGCATAATTAATCAATCTAAGCCAATTCATTGTTACACTTCAGTGTCCCTTCAAACGATGTTTCGACCATAACATCTTTTTTTTTATTTAAATGCATTTTGGAAAGACAACCTAAACTCTGTCGTTTTGTTTGCTTTGTTTTATGTTATCGTTTGTATCCTGGCTCTATATTTTACGTTTTTTACAATTTACCTAAGTCCAAATGTATTGTTTTTTAAATATGTAAACCTTGCATTTTTATATTATTAATTAAGATTATCATTAGTTACGACTTTGCTTTGCAGTATTGTTGCGTTTTTAAACTCTCAAAATCTTCGACTACTATGTTTCACCTAAGACATTCTTCTGCAGTATTACGTATTTGCATTTCTGTGGGTCCTAGAACAATGAATCTATTACCATATTTCAAAACCAAAAAGAGGTTTGGAAAAACTCTGCTGTTCTTCAAATAATATCATTAAAGCCTACTTTTTTGTCGTGTGTGCACGCAGCCACAAGCAACGAGCCTTTTATTTGAGTCCAGCTTTGGTGTTTTACGTGCAATCGACCAAGAGTTCTTCGTTTTGTGTGCAGCATATTTCTTTTCTTTTTTTTTTGTAGGGGGGGCGCTTCTGGTGTGTACCGGCCAGCTGGTTTCTCGTATAAAATATGTACACTTTAAAATTAAAAAAAAAAACGCGCTCGTTATATTGTACGATGTACTATGCTGCTTCGGGCTGCAGTGCGGTCAGCAGCAACTTCAATAACAATAATGTCAAATAACGTTTATTTGCGCGGAAAAGGGGAGGTATGTGAATAAGAAAAAAAGAGGGGGATCATCTTCACACTTGGCGCGACAGAGAGGTACCAACACGTACGCGGAACGCCTGCCAGCCATCCGCCCGGGTAGATTGGTCGACGCCAGCGCCACCGCAGCATTCCACGCCGAAACGGCCGTTCCCAGGCAGCCGCTCGCGCCACTCAAAAGCTTCTAGTACACTCTAGTAGTATAGAAAATTGAAATTGCTCCAGCCACAGTTCAAAAAGAGCCCGACGTTTCGAGACCGACTCGGTCCCCTTCCTCAGGGGGTGAGAGTCACCCCCTGAGGAAGGGACCGAGTCGGTCTCGAAACGTCGGGCTCTTTTTGAACTGTGGCTGGAGCAATTTCAATTTTCTAAACTTTTCTACCCAGCCAGACAGATTGCTGTCAAAATGTTTACGTTTAACTCTAGTAGTAGTGTAGACTGTGTAGTACACACATTTGCCTAGTCTTCGTACTTGCGGGCGGCGAATCGTACTTGCGGCTTTGTTTATTACTGGTTACGGTTTTGTTTTGAAAGAAAGAACTAACCCTTTTGAACTTAGGGACTTGATTCAAATTAGTAAGCTTAAAAGAATAAGGTTGTGAAGCGCAAACGGTGAACAGTTGCTAATTTATGTTTTCGTGAAAAAATGACTCCAAGCCACATGAACACACACGGAGCCAGAAGCAGGCCAGACGTACGAAAATTAGACAAATGTGTGTACTACCCATCATTCCCATGCTCGCTGAAGCACCGGGGAACTCTGAAGCGCCAGAGTTCCCTCTAGTAAGAATTGTGGGAAGTTCTATGCTCCGCCGGAGGCAGAGAGTGAGCCCGCTGCCCCCTTCTAGTACACTGTAGTCTAGGCCTCTAGCCGGCTCTAGCCACATCCGCCTAACACGCTTCCTTGGCTAATGGCTGAATCGTACAAATTGCTACACAGTGCCTTTTAAAATAACTAACTTACAGACACGTAACAATTTTATAACACGGAATACGCTGTGAACGCACGGTTAAAAGTGCGAAGTGTGAAAACCACGTGCAAACAACCTTTTTTTTTTGAGCTGCCATGACGACTCGCCATTGGCTCGCTGCAAGCTGAACGCAGCCGAGACAAGCTCCAGTGAGGTACTGCATTGTGCGCGGCGTGCTTAAATATCGTCGTGGGGTTTATATTGCTGCTGAAGCTGTGAAAGGTTGGTACTCTTCCTTTTTCAACTTCGAAATTTCGAATCCACCATAAGGTACGCAGTCTCGCGTTGTGAATAATGTGTTCGTGATTCATCCCAGCGCATGTCTACAAAGGACCCTTCTACTTTTCTCGTTCCTTTATTTGATCATGATAAGCTCATGGCCTCGCCCTTTGATCCAGGTGATTATGGGTGAAAAAAAAAAACGCTTGTGTCAAATAATAAAAAAAAACCCAATTTGGTTGTCGTATCGCAGGCGGCTTTCCCTGTACACATTCTACTTGCGAGGGTTAGGCGTGACCTCCTCCATGAAAGTATAGAAGAACGTGGTTTTAATCAGAGAATAATCACTATACGCAGATATAGACTAATCAGCAAAGCATTGCATCAGTGACTCATAAAATTGTTTGACCACCATGTTTATTTGTAGATGTCATTTGCGGTCGTCGACTTCTTTGACGTGGTGGAAGCTGAAGTT